GTCTTTGATGATTTTCCCAGCCCTTTTCAGACACCGCTTCCTGTAGATGTCTTTTATGGCAGGAAGTGGTGCTCCGGCGATGCGCTGGGCAGTTTTCACGACCCTCTGCAACGCCTTCCGGTCCGAGGCAGAGCAGTTCCCGTACCAGACTGTTATACAGTTGGTCAGGATGCTCTCGATGGTGCAGCGATAGAAGTTCACCAGGATGTCTGAGGACAGGTGGTTCTTCCTCAGAGTCCTCAAGAAGAAGAGGCGCTGGTGAGCCTTCTTGACCAGCTTGGAGCAGTTGGTCGTCCAGGTGAGATCCTCGGAGATGTGGACTCCCAGGAACTTGAAGCTGCTCACACGCTCCACAGCCGTCCCCTTAATGTGGATGGGTGGATGTGGGTCAGCATTCCTCCTGTAGTCCACGATGAGCTCCTTGGTCTTCTCGGTGTTAAGCAGCAGGTTGTTTCTGTCGCACCACTCAGCCAGACGATCCACCTCCTCCCTGTAGGCGGCCTCATCGTTGTCACTGATGAGGCCAATCACCGTGGTGTCATCTGCAAACTTAATGATGGTGTTGGAACCATCAGCAGGTCTGCAGTCGTGGGTGAAGAGGGAGTAGAGGAAAGGGCTCATCACACAGCCTTGTGGTACACCGGTGTTCATTGTGATGGTAGATGAGCAGCGGTTATCCAGCCGGACATGTTGGGGGCGGTTGGTCAGGAAGTCCAGTAACCATTTGCAGATGAGGGAACTGATACCCAGGTCTGTCAGTTTCCTGATGAGTTGTGAGGGGTGGATTGTATTGAATGCTGAACTGAAGTCTATAAACAGCATTCTGGCGTAGGTGTTGTTGTTGTCCAGGTGTGAGAGGACAGAGTGCATTGCGATGGAGACTGCATCCTCTGTGCTCCTGTTCCGGCGGTATGCGAATTGGTGGGGGTCCAGGGTGGGGGGGAGACAGGATTTGAAGTGTGCTAGGACCAGTCGCTCTAAGCACTTAGTGATGATGGGGGTGAGTGCTACTGGGCGGTAATCATTGAGGCAAGATGGGTTGGAGTTTTTGGGTATCGGGATGATGGAGGTGGATTTGAAGCAGGCCGGTACCACAGCGTGGGCCAAGGACAGATTGAATATGTCTGTGAGCACTCCTGCAAGCTCCCCAGAACACGCTCTGAGAACACGCCCGGGGATGCCATCAGGGCCTGCAGCCTTGTGGACATTGATCCTGCTCAGCACCGCTCCTACATCGGTGGGGGAGAGAGTCATAGGTTGGTGGTCTGGCGTCATGTCTGCTTTGGTTGTGGTTGTGGGGTTCCCTCGCTCAAAACGAGCATAAAAGTTGTTGAGCTCGTTGAGGAAGGCTGGACCTAAGACAGAAACAACAGTAAACTGGACACTATGAGTTGTAAGATGACAATGCTTTTTCCATTGTTGCTGCTGACCTTCCTGTCAACAGCCAGGCTTGAAACAGAGTCTGACAATGAAATAATTCCACAGTTAACGGAAACTGGATCCCAGGAGAGAGGACAAGCAAAAGCTTCTGATCAACAACACAACTGTGTTACTGACATCAATTCTGTGCTGAGAGAGATGAGTGCCTTGTTGGGTGCACTGAAGGTTGAAGTGAGATACTTGCGAGAAGACAATGAAGGTAAAGTATAATGTGTGGCCTGAGAATCCATTTAATTAAACCACTGGCATGGTGTCTGCAAATATGTCATGCTATTTTTAATTATCTATTTATTTATTTAGAACAAGCAGCTAAGGTGAGAGAACTGGAGTTGCAAAAGACTGAGCTGGACAAGCTGAAGGAACAATATCAAGGTATATATACTCAGCAGTGAAAAATGATGAATAATTAAAGACCATGAGGAAAATGCTCGGTCTGTTTTTTTTTTCTGGACATCATGAAATATGATATATTTAAATATATCTTTCAGTAACTGACACCAAAGTAATGAATATTTACAATGTAACTCAGGTTTTGCTCATTTTTTCTTTTTCTTTTAACCAATTACTCTGATTACAGCACAGTCACAAGAACTGATCTCCATTAAAGCTAAGACAAATACCACAGAAAACCAGGTGGAGGCTCTAAAGAGAGAGAGAGAAGGTTTGTGAATTTAGAAACAAGCTCATTATTGCAACAGTCAATGTAACATCAGTCATTTTAACGTGCTTTTGTCCTCTGTCTCAGTGAAACAAGTGGCTTTCTCAGCCTCTCTGCTAGCTGCGGGGTCGGGAACTGTTGGACCGTTTAACACACACACACCTCTGGTCTTCAGACGTGTCGTCTCAAATATTGGAAATGCATATAATCCACATACAGGTATGCATCTATGAGAAAAAGAAAAATCTGACTTTATGACAAAGTTGAGATCATTGTAGGTGACAACTCTCTATTTGATTTTAACATCCCACAGGATTTTTCATTGCACCAGTGAGAGGAGCTTACCACTTTGAGTTCTACATTGGTGCACATGGTCATGCAGCTCATCCTACTGGAGCTGTGTTGATCAAGAATGGCGAGCATATTTTTATTGCCTATGAACACCAGAATTCCCATTATGGAAGTTCTGCTAATGGTGTCACGTTGTTATTAGAGGTTGGAGATGTTGTGTTTTTGCGCCAGTGGGTTAACTCAAGGATTTTTGACAATGAAAATCACCATAGCACCTTTAGCGGCCATCTGCTTTTTACCATGTGAGCAGAAAACAGTTGTTAGTTTGCTCGTGCACACTCCGCAGCAGTATGAAGATGTTCTCTGTACTGATATTTGTATGAACCCGACTGACAAAAATGCTAAACAAAAATAACATTTGCAACAAGAAAAAAAATCGAAGATGTTTTTCATTTACACGTCTTTACTTGCATTAAAAAAGTACCTCAGCACCTGACTGTTAGTTCCGTGCCAGATTTAATTTGGTGTAGAATTTTCTAAGACAATTGTACATATTATGATTATTTTATTTTTTTGGTTTGTTTTGTAGAAATGTTTTATGTGATGAAGACAATTTTCAATTTACCTTTATATCTATGAAAGAATCAACCTTTGTGTTCTGTTTATCGAGTAAGCTGTACAGCAATCATAATTCTAATAAATATATATGAAATTAAATATTGGCATGTTCTGTTACATTTTATGGACTTTTACTTAACTTGAGAGAGAGATAAAAAGAGAGACGGAGAGAAAGAGAGGTAATATCTGAGTTCATATAGGCTTAAAATTTAAGCAGCATTGCTCTTTAGTTGAAGATTTAGGTAGTTTTGAGCCAGCACTATACCAGTGCAGATTACAAAGAGCAAATGGAGTAATAGTAAACACCCCTTAATAAGCTGCCTCAATAGGTTGAAAGTATCAGCGTTGGTATTGAAACTGCAAATGGTAGCACTGTATTTATCAGTTCCAGTGTGCCACAGCAGCAGTATTTGCTTAGTGTTCTGAAAGGATGTTGATGTCCTCTGTACTTGTGTTTTGAGTGGTCATTGGCCTCCAACATAATCTGTGCTGCTCTCTGTCCCAACTTTAATTTTAATTTTTTTGCATAAATGAGTGTGATCACATCAAGAGGGTAAAATGAACACGGTTAACAAAGATGTGAGAAATATGCCAATAAATAGGTGCTGCTAATAAATACAGGCATCGCAGACCAGCATGATATTTGAAACTGATTTACTGATATCATCGACATAACACACAATGCATCAAATAAATGCATAGCTGTTGTATTTTCAGGCTTTTGTAAACTTCTGGTTACAGTCTCTTTTACACCCTCTCCAACTCTACCTCCATTTATTCAGCAAGAATAGACTCAATAGGCCCTGTGCACAACTGAGCTAAACGAATAGTACATTGTCTTTGCTACAAGCAAAATAAACCTCACATCCTGAATGGCTGGTCAATGCTGGTCAAATTGTCATCAGTAAAGAGGTAACTGATGCTGGACTAAGCAGAGTTGCAAAAAAAAAAAAAAAAAGACACGCTGAACAGGCTAATCAGAGTAAAGATTTTGGATGGGCAAAAGAATGCTGAAAAAAAAATTCGAGAGAGATAAATCTAAGTTTGAGTTCTTTTGATCCCAAGGAACATTTGTGGGAAGTATTGACAAAGATATGCTATGCTATATTTATGCTATCTTTATATCTGTAAATATATATATATAAAATTAAATTGATTGAGGGATTGAAGAGGTATTGAGAAATGAAGGGGACCACTATATTTGGCAATGCCATGCAATGTCTTGTCAACACTTAGAAGTACAGAATTATTGAAATCTTCTTGAAGAACACTGGCTTTATATATAAAAAGAAAAACAACAGCAAAAACAACAAAAAATATGCTACATATCCCAAATACAGTAAGAGTCATTAATCACTCCTGTATCTAAGTCACAGTGGCCTTTTTGTAACCGTACCTATATACTGTTTTTAACCACAAAACCACTGGAAAACACTACACACATACACCCAAGAGTCAGAGTCTAAACCCAACCAAATTATTGATTATCACATTTCTAGATGAAAGATTTTTTTGTTAAATGTTTATAGGCCCGTGAGTCTTTGGCACTGGCACTGCAGAATAGTTCTGTCTGTAGTAAAATCCATCATCTATTTTCTTGCCCACTTATAGAGTTCAAATGTGGGTTTGTTGGAGCCTGTCCCTGCTGTTATTTGGCAAAAGGTGGAGTACACCCAGGACTGAGCCCGAGTCTACCACATGGCCAACACAGAAAGACAGACCACCATTCACAATCCCATCTATAGTTGATTCAAAATAATTTATTTTCATTTGATGAATGAAAAATGTGTTGTTATTAAAAAACTGGGATTTTTTTTATACTTACAACATTTTGAGTGTAGTGTAAATACGACAAGTCCAAAGTAACAGTGCTATCTCCTGGGAATGTTTCTGATGAAACATCCATGGTAATGATTGACCAGACAGTCACCGACATTAAAGACACTATATAAGGCTGGAGTTAAGAAAAAACACTGAACTGCACAAACTCCATGAGATCCAACATGACAGTGTTTTTTCCATTGTTGCTGCTAATCTGCACGCTCTCTACAGTTCAACTTGAAATAAACTCTGACAGCAAAATTATTCCACTTTTAAATCAGGGAATGGAAACAGCACAAACCTCTGACCCTGAGCAAACATGTAAACCTGACATCAATTCTGTTCTGAGAGAGATGAGTGCCTTGTTGGCTGAACTGAAAGCAGAGATTAGACACTTACAGAAAGAGAATGAAGGTACAGTAGTATGCAATGGCACAAGAAACCACTGCTTTAATTCACTGAATTATGTCTTACTTTTAATTTTTTTCTGTTTTTTTAGCACAGGCAGCTAAGGTCAGAGAACTGGAGTTACAAAAGACGGAGTTGGACAAGCTGAAAGAACAGCACGAAGGTTAGTTTTGGGTGAATAGTTTATTTTTATTGGGGTTTCTCTGTGTCTGGTTGCTGTGTTAGATTTTACTCCCTATAAGCAACAAATTGGAACATTGTCAGAAGACTCGTGTTTCAAAGGAAACATTTACTGTACCTGAAAATTCAAAAAATTAAGGAAAACTGAGTAGGACAAGAGAATCTCATTGAACTAAGTTACTCTAAACATAACATAGCGGGAACACTAAAACATAGATGCTTACCTTATTATATATCAGTGAGAAGCATACTCAAGTTGCAGTTTAACTAGTAGCAATACACCAGCATTCTGGACCTTTTTCAGGTGATCCAGGGATGATTTGCTCAGCATATAGAATAAATAATTGTAATAATCAAGATGTGATGCATGTTTGGTTGCTTGCATTTTGTACTGAGAAACAGGATATATGTCCTGTGAGGGACAGATTCCCCAATAAATATTTAAGTTTTAGTATAAATAAGCGTCCTATCACATTCTCAGCAAATACTGGAGGAGTGAGGTCACTTACAAGCACACACAACAAATTTTGCATTGCATTTCTGAAGTAGCTTGTAAATTACAGTAATCGCAGTAACAATCAACTGGCTATTGGCTCCAACAGAAAATGGGCCTATATATATATATATATATATATATATATATATATATATATATATATATATATATATATATATATATATATATATATACATATATATATATATATATATATATAATTTTATTTAATTTTTTTCAAAGACTCTTAAGTAATTGGATAGTGTACTGATGACCACTTTCATGGCCGGGTAAGGCCCTTTCCCTCATTGTTTCCTGACAAACATAAGGGAAAAGGACCTGTAGTTGATTCTAACTGTATTTGTTTGCTAGATTTCTCAATATGAGGACCAGAGAGATATAGATAGATATAGATTTCTACCCAAACTGAATGTGACACGCAGCAACTGAATCAAAGGCCTAGAAGAACATCTCAAGGAAAGACAGCATTTGGTGATGTCTGTGGGTTCTTGACTTCATGAAGTGATTGTACTTAAAATTATGTTAATTTGTCAAATTGTAATACCAAAGTAGTTATTTCAATACTTTTATTAAACACATTGAATGAAAGCTGCAGGTCTGCATTTCACTCACATCTTGATTCTTTAATTTAAAATCCATTGTGGTGTGTGCAGAGACAGAATTACACAAAAAACAACCAAAAACAACCCAAACCTAACAGTAGTATATTACAGCAATTAAACTAATGGGAAAAGTGCTTCCAACTACTGAGCTGAACCATATATCATCTCTTTTATTTCTTCTTCTTCTTTTTATCACTCTCTTTGTCAGCACAAGCAGCTAAGGTGAAAGAATTGGAGTTGCTAAGGGCAGAAATGGATAAGCTGAAGCAAGAGAGCCAAGGTATATACGTCTGTGCTCACAAGTTTGCATACACTCATCACAGACATGAATGTCGTAATGAAGTTTGAGCTCTTAATCATTTCTTTAAACTTCTTAAAGTTTTTCCAGGGTGAAATGATGGTGTCTCATACATCTTTAATTTCTTTAAATAACAAGAATTGGATGCACAAGTAACTGTAACCCACACAGGGGTCATAATTTATACATGCATGCTAAAATATACACATACAGCCACACTAGTATTTAGTTAATTGTCTCCTAGCAAATCCCACTTTAACCAGGTACATTGTGTTGCACTGAGAAATAGTTAGCTCAAAAGCTTAGCAACAAGTGATTTTATTAAAAATGTTCATAGTCAAACAGTATCTTTTTAAAAAATGTAATTATTCATTTAATTCCAGCACAAGGAGGAGAGCTAATCACCATTAAAAGTAGGGCAAACATCACAGAAAACCAGGTGGAGGTCCTGAAGAGAGAAGCAGAAGGTTTGTTGAACAGGAAACAATCTCATTATTGAAACAGTTACTGGAACATAAGTCACTTTAACACGTGTGTTTCTCTCTCTCTCAGTCAAACGTGTGGCTTTCTCAGCCTCTCTGTTAGGCACAGGCTCACAAAATATTGGACCATTTAACACATACATGCCTCTGGTCTTCAAATATGTTGTTTCCAATATTGGAAATGCCTATAATTCACACACAGGTACTCAAATACATACATTTTTAGAATTAATTTGATTTTATGACAATGTTTACTCCATTTAAATTTTTAAAAATGTCCCACAGGTTCCTTCACTGCACCAGTAAGAGGAGCGTACCACTTTGAATTTTATGTATATGGACATCATTCACATCCTTCAGGGGCTGTGTTGGTCAAGAATGGAGAGCACGTCTTTGTTGCATACGAACATTCGAGCAGTCCTCATTCAGTCAGTTCTTCTAATGGTGTCACATTGCTACTAGAGGTAGGAGATGTGGTGTTTTTGCGACTGTGGAATGGCGCTTGGATTTTTGACAATGAAAATCGGCACAGCACGTTCAGTGGACATCTGCTTTTCCCCATGTGAGAAGAAAAACAGCCTAAGATATCTGTGCAAGCACACTCTACCAGTGTATTAGTTACTCTGCATTTTTTCTAGATATGAAGCTGACTGAGCAGCCACAAGTATGAATATGTAAACTATCATCATGTTTTCTTACTTTGTTTAGCCTTTTATTTAATTGTTGGCAAATTTTGTTTTTTAAAAAGAGAGATTGGGTTAAATGTTTTCTTTTGCTTTTGCTTCTTCTTCTACTTTTTTAAAAAAGTTGAATAGTATCAGACCCACTTAAACACAAATTACGCACATGTAAATACCTTGTGATTTATAAAACCATGTTAATATAGCACGATCTATTTCCTTAGAAAGCAAAGACAGAAAGAAAGCTAGACATTACTGTAACTGTAACTGTTTTAATCCTTTGCTTGTCAATTTACAGTCAATTAAACAAATAGCTAACTTTATTTTTTCATCTTCATGAAAAACTCCTGCAATGTCCCACAGAGTTTACACTTTTGGCTTACACCTGGATTTCTTACATCAACACTTGGCTGCCATTAAGTATGGCTTCTGTTTTACACCTGCACTACTACAACTCAGCACAGACTTCATCCAACACATACATTCCCACCATTTGATTGGAAATATGGAAAAGCTGTAACTAATGCGTCACAAACACATATTATTGCCAACTTGTTTGCAGTTTAACTTTCTCCCAAATGAAAGAGTCTATTCCAACTAACTTACAACATTAATAACAATGCAGCACCTGCTTATTTAAAGTTTTTATGCAACTGACTTTGATACCGACTGCTTTTAAATCCATAGTCTGGCTCTATTTTCTATTTCACAGCTCTTAACCTCATATTTTTCACTTGGACCTCAAATCACAGAACACATTTCTCCTGAATGTACCATTCACCTCTAATCCCGCTGGACTTGTATTTAAACTGAGTTAATGGCTCAATTAAAACACATCCTAACCTAAATGTAGAATTGTTTATGTACTAAATTTCAAAGAATAAATCAATAGCGTATAAGAAGGATTTGGGGTACAAAAAACAACAACAACCCAAAACTTAATATAATCCTCAATGTAAAGCCAGCAGCAAAATAATATTTAACAAAATATGAACATTATGATTTTTTTTGTTTAATTTTTCCTCCACACTTTGCTGGGTGATGAGTTCACTGCATTTTTCTTCAAAAGGTGATAAGTTATTGAGTGTGAACCTTTGGGCAATGTTTCCTCCTGACTACATTTTCATGTAGATCATGTTTGTTTACTGGCACGACAGTGTCAATCAAATCTTTCTTTCTACCCAGTAGTTTTGCACGTTTAACTACATCTAAATCTAAAAGGGTTTCTAGATTTTTGTTTGACCTCAACAACTACAAAAGAAACTGCCATTTCTTAAACACAATTTAATCAGTAGAAACTGCAATTTGGGAAGAATTACAATAATTTTTATTTTTAATTTTTTTAAAGTTAATCTCCACCATGTGCCCAATTGGCTGGACATCCAACACTTAATTCAACTTTTTTATTTCCATGAGTTAAAGGTGAGAAGGTTATATTTATGACAAAAAACAATTTCTATAGCGATATAATAATTAAATTCAATATTTTTCACACAATGAGCAAAATAAGTAATTTAAAGGGACTTATAAGGTCAAGGCAAATAATACTGTGTGTAAGTTCTGTTAGTAAGAAGCAAAAATGCTCTTTTAGAAAATAAACCTTATTGAAAGTATCTTACACCAGGCCTCAATTCAGCCTCTCACTCTCTTTAAGCTTCACAAACAGGAGGACTGAACTGGTTAGAGTGGCTGCTTTGAGTGGAGGGAAACTGCTCAAAGCATTGTCACCTTTGTTTGCTGAGCAGTGACTATTTCAGGCACTTCTAGCCCACAAATAAACAACGGAGGACTCATTTAAAAAGCACACAGGTTTTATTGCATATCAATTTCATGTATAAATTCTTCATAGCATTGGAAAGATTACATTTGGTATACATTGCTATTCTACAGAATTAACATCAGAGTCATATCTTTTCAATGAAATTTCTCTAAAGTACATCTGCAATAATCACAAGCATCAAAAGAACTGCAATTTCAGAATTGTTCAATATTATTCTACAATCCTTTATTGTTTTTCATTATGTCTTCTCTGACAAGTCTTTTCTAAGTCTTTCGGGACCACCTGTCCAAACATCTGTAAGGCAGTCAGAAGTTGAAGTCAAACATACTAACCTAACCACATGTACAATAAGTGCATCTACGAATTTCTTTTTTTTTTCCTTCTTTTCTTTTTTTTTTAATTTTTAATTTTTTTGATTTGATACACGTTTCACAAATGGACATCATTATGACTGCTAACACGTCATGCACAATAAATTTTTTTTTGTTTGCTTTCAATAAACATAACAGAGGCGATATACAACTCAGATTTTAACAAAACAAGCACCATCCATTTAAACCCATATTTTTCAATGATTTTTTTTCTTCAGACAAATGCACCATGTTTTTCATTCTTTAAAATACTATACAGTTAAAAAGAAACTATGTATATTTTTTACTTTCTCCTGTAACAGCGGGGGCAAACAGCAACCATCTTCTATTTTGCTGAAACATATTTCAGTGACCACTTGCCAGAATACGTTCTGAAGCTGGCAAAATGAAATACCTATATGCCTTCAGTTCCTTTGCTTTACACAGCGCGTACTTATTACAGTAGTCCATGACAAGAATTACTACAAACAGTCAGCCTTAAAACTTAATGACCCAAGTCTTTACATTTTGTAACCACAAGTTGGAAAGCAATGCATTTACCATGAATTGAATCTCATTCAGTAGAATTATATAAAAAGAAGACATCTGTCTTTAGAAAACTGAGATGATGCAGCAGTCCTAGCATCACACTACCACCTACTGTCATGAAGAAAAATTACAGTGCTTCTGTTATCCTTACCTCTCCATGTTGAGCACAACATGCCCATCTAGTGAAAGTGAAACCAAATGTATCTGTTCTAACATTCAGGGACCTAAGCATGATCAATTATTGGCTTGGACCCATATGATTTAAGTGCTATTTTCAAAATACAGCATCAGGCCTAGTTAGAAAAGTCCCAGTATGCGGAGAGGAACAGTGATCAACAATGCCCACGCTCCACCTTTTTGCAGCTATCTACAGTAAATTACTCACGCCCCTCCACGGCACAGCTACCTTGTAGACCATATGGAATGAGTTTTCAGTATGACCTCAGAAGAAGAATTTCAGATTAAAAAGTTATCAAGTGTTTCGGTTTTCCCCATCCAGCTAGACAGCTAGACATTTAATTTGAATGGACCGACCAGCAGAATTACGATGCCCGTTTTAATACTTTCTGTGGTTTGTTTTTATCAGTTCTTTTGGTTTAATGAGTTGTTGTCTTTCTTCTCAAATAGTCAGTGATTATGCCATGTTCGTGCAGTTGTGGCTGTGTGCGTTTGAATTTTAGACCGTATAAAATTGGACAACTCATTAAAAAAACAAAAAACAACAGTATTTGTTGGTTATAAGACATGTATTAAATCTGAAACAGATGAAAGGGGGAGCTCGATGTTGTAGAAACTACTCAGATTCAATAGTGTAACAATGTAATGCCCTTTTCATGACATCCATAACGAAGGTTGTCCAAGCCTGCCCCCTTTAGTACTTGAACCATTTTGAACAAGACACATTCAGCCTACTGGGTAAAATGGTTCAACTAAAACAAGGAAATAAAAAGGCTAAACACTGCAGGATGTTTCAATGCCAAATAGGATCTAAGACTAACTACAGCTATATTTCACTATAAATAAAATCAATTAATTTCATGTTTTTTGTTTTTTTGTTTTATTTTGTTTTTGTTTTGATTTTGTATTTTTTTCTCATTTTGGCACACTAACCCATCAAAACCAGAGATTCTGAATCTCCCTCATGTTCTGATAGTTTACCATTCCTTCAGCAACAAGAAACGAGGGATAAAATGACTTCTTCATTTTCACTCCCCCTGCCATGACAAAACAACCAAAAATAAATACAAACACACACTTCTGAAATCAAATATATAAGCGCTTAGTAAGAAAGAAAAAACAAAGAAACTATGACAGCAAATGCAAGCCCCTTGGAAATGAAATGATTGTCAGAGAACAAAACATTTTCTATGGGTTATTTGGCACATACCACTCTTCCTATGAACATCTAGGTTAATTTGTACATCATATGACATATCATACAATTTTGGTCCTTCTCTAAATTAATTATATTAACAATTAAGCACTGCAGTGCCTACGAAGAAACAATACTGTGTAAGAGGAAAGAAAAATTAATGTGAATAAAATTAACAAATGACAATGAAACAAGCAGAGAAAGACTTTCCTCATTTTTTTTCTGAACATGATTTAAATCCATTTTCAGCATGATCAAGTTTGAATAACCAATTACAATGGCTAGTGGCCCAGATAACTCATTGAAAGCACATTTGAACGTAGAATAAAATTCTTTAAAAAAAAAAAAATCAACAGTCTATTGTATCTGCCAATTCTTTAACTAACATTTAGTGTGGTGCTATTGTTGATTCTGCTGTTACTACTGAAACAAAATCAGTAAATAAGTCACCCATGGTTGGTGGAGGAAACACGGAGACAGCGGTCAACACTCTCACTCTATTCTTGGTGAAACAGTGCCAACTTGTGGACATGCAGTGCCAATGCAGCATGTCTCTGCAGTGTTTGTAGTAGGCGGTGTATACAGACTTTAGAGACGTATCAGTCATTAAGAGTCTTTATGAGAGCCTTACGCAGGGTCTCTGTGGTGCTGCGGTAAGCCTTGTGCACTTGGGGAGGATCAGAGTAATGCAGAGTTTCAATGCTATTGAGAAGCATTCATCATGTCCTTCACATCAACAGGAGCTTAGCAGTGCGTTCGCTTTGACAGTCTTTGCAAGACCCTTCACCTGGGGGAAAATCTTCCCCTTCTTTCTTTAACAAACACTCACACACAGACACACACACACAAAACAAGCACACACATCCACACAAACTCATTCTTTCTATCTTGAATGTGTATGACAATGAAATCTTCTCCATCATCCTTTGTCTTGCCCCCTACTCATGTCCACTCAGTCTTTCTGTTCCTCCTCCTACTCTTCCTCCCACCTTTTCTCTCTCTCTCTCTTTCTCTCTCTCGCTTAGATGTGGTTGAGTGGGTGAAAGCTGCTCGTCTCAGACGGTCCACCTCCCATGCTCAGCCAAGCGTCCAGAGAGTTCTGGGAGGGCGCGTGCAAAGGGTTGTTCTCAGAGAGAGACAGCATCATTGCATAAGCCTGTGAAAGAAGAAGACGGATGATTTTTAGGAAAATACAGAAACTTCAGTAAGCTTTCATTGTGTCCAACGACACGTCCAGAAATGAAAGGATTACAGTACATCTGGTTGCTGGTG